GAGCAACTTTTTTCAGTGATATATCAGATAGCTTAAAAGATACAAGTGATAGGTGTTGTAGATTTGAGCATGAATTCACGATTATATATAAAGTTGTATCCCCCATATTAGTTAATCTACTGGATCGTTTTATACCTCTACTATTACATAAAACAATGATAGATTCTAGAGGACAAATTTGCGCAATCTCACTAATATCTTTATCAGATAAACTACAATACCATTTGATTTTTAGATGGCACAAATTAGGACAGGATCTAGTAATTCTATATAGCTCATTACTAGAGACCTTACATCCAAAGAGATGAAGTTGAAATAAATACTGTGTGTGGTGTTTTATTTCTGGAAAAATGGCACTTTGTACTTGACCTTCACACATCATTTTTTTAAATTTTCTCCATCGTGTACACGATTTTTTTAGATCACCAGCAAATTCAACTCTTTTCCATAATATAGGAGCAGAACAAAAATACCATAGCCGGTTAACGAATAAGGCCGGGTATAATGTCTTATATGTGACAAGGTATGAGAAAATTTTGGTTAAAATTTCAGGAAGATATAATGGATGGAGTTTATTATATGTCATTGATACTTATCTTACGAATTTATTCTTTATATGATAAATAACCCTCTCTTACAATTCATTTTTTATGTATGGTAGAAGATCCGCGTCAAATGGTACTAATATGAGATCTACACCTTCTCGAGCACATATCACCCACTTTTTTTGATCTCTGATTTTTTGTTGTTCCAAGTCTATCTGACCTCGCTTATGGAACATTGGATTCTCAGAAAAATGCTGAGGGTCCTGGTATTCATATGCCAATTTTAACTCTTCATTATACCTGTCTAATTGCAACCTATTTAAAAATGACGGTTTACGAGATGGAAATTTCTTACCTAACAAATCCTCAAAAATATATCTACACCTTCGCTTATCGGTATGATGGAAGCAAATTGGACACCATTCGAATTTATCCTTCTGAATCTTATAAGGTGCTTCCCATTGATGGAGTCCGTTTTCACATGACCAGAAATATACATCAAAATCATTTATTTGGCCAGTTTTTATAATACAATGTCCACCACGCTTCCTGGCATATTGTTGTGCTTTAGCCATTTTATTAATAATACGAACGAAATTAACAGACCTGAAACGAGTATTTTCTCCCAATATACTTTGAGGCGGATATTGAAGCGTATCAATATTGACGTGTAAGAACTTCTCTCTCACAAATTCACGCTTTGGAGCATATTCATCATCATCATCTCCGAAATAATATAAAACTGGTTCATTCTTCGTTATCACGATTTTGCGGATTTTATGTAATGAAGGACTCCATACTGGATTGGTGGCCTTTTTTTACTCTAAGCCAGAAGACCCTTCCTACTCTCCATCAGCTAACAAATAACGGACTGTATCACCCTTTTTCAACTTATTCTCTTCATATTTCTCAACAGGACACTTATATTTCGTTAATGGTCTAGATTCTACACGTTCCAACCGAATGGCCAGTTTGGGGGCTAAACCTCACTTTGAAGAACCTGGAGCTCGAATGAGACGTGTTGGATAATTATTTAGGTAATCAATGACTTCTGGTAAATACTTCACCCACTCTCTTATTAATTTAGGATTTTTAGATATTGATTCAACGGCATACTGGATTTTATAAAGCATCTCTACTAGAGTTTTACAGAATCTATCTACAATTGCAAATCCTCGATGACTATATGCACAAATTACTCAAATCGTGACATTGTGCACTTCCATTAATCGAGCAGTTTCACCTATGAATTCTTTACCACCATCAATGGTTAGCAATTTAGGCCAGGTTAATGGATTTGATGAACTATTATAAATTTTCTTGAACGCTTTAGTAACTTCAGAGCTTTTCTTCGACGTTAGAGGAACTGAAGCCTTATATCTTGATGCACAATTCACTATATTTAGCACTGCTTTGTATATCTTCTGCTTATAACGATCATGGGTAAGAAAGAGTATATCAACTTGGTGTACACAATTCAGATGTGAAATTTTACCATAACTAACCTGTGAAATGTATTTAGGAGCCGGTACATATTTTTACCACTTATTTTGATTTATGAACCATTTTTTAATTTCGGAAAGCTTAAATTTATGTCCCTTCCTCCGACACGCATCTCTTAATGCTTTTGTATTGGAGAAATATCCAGTAGGTCGATAATATAATTTCCGCAATATAAGATTTTTTTCGATATCACAAGCTTCATTAGGGTTAATATATATAGTAGCTTGGCTCATTTTGATGCATTTTATTATAGCAAAAAATTTTAGCGCTTTCTTGGCAAACAATGTGATCAGTGTATATATTACATTTGATGGATAATCTTGTTGTGACCATCAAGAAATTACGTATTCGGATCCAGAAAAATGAGGATTACATTACCTATCTGGAGAAAGAGATAACTACAAGGGATGACGAGATCGGTATTCTCTGAATACAGGTAAACGATCTCAAAATAAGACTCCAAAGAGCAGAGGCGGATGCTCAGTCCAATGATAAAAATATATCTGCTCTCGAACTCCAGTTACAAGATATGAGCAGTGAAATATCTTCACTTTAACATAGAATATATAAACTTCGAGAAGAGATGTCATTAACCACCCCAAGCACATCAGCCAATGTCTTTACATTGATAGATGAGACAAAAGTTTATATTAGTGTCTTATTTGATTCCGTTAGAGGTGAAAATGATCTGTTAAATGACGAAATTAATAATTTACAAGCTCAAATCGAATTAAAATTTACTCAGATATGAAATAAGTGCCATATATGTGAGTACGAAAATAGGCAACTGAGAGAAGGACTGGCTCCAGATTATGAGACTGAAGTAGGGTGTCTCCAAACGACTATAAATGAGCAGAGGGATCAAATAGATGAACTGGGTAATGAAGCCCAAAATTGATACCAAAGAGCTAATCAATTGCAGAGCCATTATGACACGGTTCTTGATGAAAGGAACTAGTACAGGACAGAATGTTTTCAGTATGAAGAGACCCTTAGGGGAATCCATGAAAATTTAACTCACGAAGGTGCCGATCAATTAGATTGGGATGATGAAAATGCAGAGTTAAAAGAAGAGCTTCGTATAGCTGGTTTGCAAATAATTGCTCTGCGGGTCAGATACTTAATTCTTACAAATAGGAGGTATGCATTATGGCAGGAGGCGAATAATAGGGCACAGCATTATAGACACGAGTATCGTCTGCAAGGACAACAATTACAACAATACCAAGCTGACAAAGGATTACTAGAATATAATTAAGATCGACTCTTTGATAGATATTATAATAAATTCAAGGATTGTAAGGCGAGTTATATCAAGTGGAAAAATAGAGAGTACAATTCACAGCAATTAATTTTGAATTTGAATCAGCAAATTTTTACGTTCCAGAATAATTTACTTATAAATAATCAAGTGAATATGGCATTACAACCATTACCATTGCCAAATTTTTCAGGTGACTATAATGAGGACATTGATATTTTCTGTAGTCGACTATCATCATATTTCGCAGGTGTTGCTATAGATCCACCTGCTAATCGGGATCAAGCATTTGGCATTTTTAGAGGATGCTTATCTGGACAGGCATTAGATTGGTTTGATCAAAAAATTATCGGTAAATATTAGGAAGTTCATAATATTCTTGCAAATCATGGACAAGCCGGTATGACTGCTCTTCGAGGTCGAACTATGGCACAAATGGTTACTAGTAACAGTTTTAGAAATCCCTCAATAGCTCATGACTACGTAAATGTCAATGAAAATAATGCAGTAATAGTAGAGGATTCAATGATTCCAGCAGAAGCTTTTACTGAAGATTGGTGACTAGCTGGAGGTCGGCCATCGGATAGACCTGTTA